GAATAATTTTAATTCGCGATTTTAATGATCCAGACTGTCAAAGACAAACTATGAAATAATTTTTATTTTATTTATTTATGGAAATAATTTTAATTCCCGATTTTAATGACTCAGAACGTCAAAGACAATCGACGAAATAATTCTTACTTTATTTACTTACGTAGATAATTTTAATCTATGATTTTAATAATACAAAGTGTCGAAGAAAAACTATGAAATAATTCTTATATTATTTAGTTACGCGAATAATTTTAATTCGCGATTTTAATGACTCAGAACGTCAAAGACAATCGACGAAATAATTCTTATTTTATTCATTGTTGTAATATTCGTCTCTAGTTCGTGATATTTTATAGAAATAATAAATCTTTCCCGAGTTTCTGTTTATATCTGTGCCTTGTAAACGGTATTGTAAACTCGTCGTTGTGGAGCCGGGAGAATGATCAATCACCAAATTCTATTACGATAACCGAAGTTCAAAAGATCATGAAATATGAAAACGCTTTCTATTCCCTTCACGGGAACCTACGAAAAATATCATCTATCTTACACGGGGCAATGTACAAAACTATCGTACAGTGCGGTCATGCACGAGGTACATAAATCATGCACGATGAAACTGTGCATCTTACGATACGCAAACAAAACCTGGAAGAAGGTCCAGAAAATCCCTGCAGTCCCGAGAATAATTCTAATCGTTGCCAGACGCGTTAAAATTAAACTATAAGACGCAATTCTTTCGTTCCAAGTCACTGGTCGCATCAATAAGTCAGAAAACAGTTCCGGCGAAGGTAGAATGGGATAAAGTTATCCAACGGAATAAGCTTTTAATATTCCCTTCCCTCGAGAGGGACGGGAACATAATTCCCTCGAACGTAATTCAAACGTTAAAGTCCTACGATATTCCTCGAGGAATAGGGCTTCTAACCGAAAACCGGGCAGGGAGGAAATAAAATTAAAATCAAAAAGAGAAGGAGAAATGGGAAAAGAAAGGAGGAAAAGGAGAAACAAAAGTGGAAAAAAAAAAGAAGCGAAAGCGAAGCTTTAATCTCTGGAAACGCAGAACTCCTTCCGGAAGCTCCAGCTGGCAGCAAATAAAAAGCACTCGGTGAGCCGTTGAGACGAAATTTTATTTCAGCGGGGAACGCCGAAAGAGCGTTCGTTACGCCTCGTTTCCATGGCTCACAGGAAGCCGTCGAATCGCCGGAGAAAGGAACTTGAAAATCTCCAGGCAGACACGACGCGTCTCCGCCCCCGCAAACGGGCAAGGCGAACTTTCACCCGCTGAATTCCTCGTTTGTGCAATTCAGCCGCGTAATCTAATGAGCAAACGCCGGGACTCGGCCGTCCGGACCCGGAAATTGAAGTATACATTATAAAACACCGGGTTTTCTATGCAGCTTACACACCACCGTCGTAAAACCAGGTCGCGCATTCCTCGAAAGTCGCTCCGCTTAAATATACACAACTGCCGGTCGCGGCCCGCTCGTGCTTTTTGCTCGTGTCCGTTTCCTTCGCCCAGGCCGGTAATGCCGCGGTTTTCATTTTGACGCCGTCTCGATCTGACGTTAATCTCGCTAGGATTTACCGGCCGAGCAGCTATTGACCGTGCACGCCACGATTTATCCAATTCGCCCGCGGTACACGAGTATTTAACGATGGAACACCGCGAGATAGGTTTCCAGCTTTTTATTTCGATCGATAGATGCCTGTTGCGACGCGTCACGTGGTAATGCACAACACTGCAGTCGTGATAAATTGCTACGGCATGGCCGATGCTGTTGCGTTATGTCGTGCTCGTCCCTTTTCGCGTATTTGAACATTTTTATACATTGACCTTTTCGCGTGATAATAGGTTTCGTCAGTGGAAATTTCAGGCGGAAATATCAAGTTCTAATTCGTTTTCTTAGTATATTGCGTTGTAAATGAAGTGGAATAGATTACAAGGAACAATGGAAATGGACTGTCCGAAGACGAATCGAAGTGTTGGAAATTACGACGTGATTCAGTGAATTGTACGAAATCTTTCGTAGCAAGGTATTTTATGTTATATCTTTTTATATCGTGTCAATGTTAACTGAATTTTAATTAATTATGATATATATTGAAAATTCGTTTAATATTTGACGAGGCGTGTTCCTATGAATCTATATATATATATATATACACTTTTATATACGACATACATATATCATATATTAAACGATATAATATTGATAATTTCTCGTAAATAATATTAAATTAATATAAAAATGGTTCTTTTTATATATCGTAATGTTTCTTTCCAACGAAAAAAGAAATATATCCATAATTATTTCGCAAGGATTCGATGACGTATGTAAAGTGACGTATTGAATTCTGATTGGCTGATTGGTTCAACGTTTCAGTTCGTTTCCTTTACCATCTTGTCACGTGACTGACGATCGTCGCACATTTCGCGTGGGTTCTCGTGTTGTTTCGTCGTACTGTAATCGTTCGTTTTATTTCGTGAAAGTTCCCCTAATTAAGTGAGTACCAGTGAATCTGTTTAATCATTCATCAGGATAACAATCCAGGTAACACTTTCCGTATATATTTTCATCCCATCTCATACGTAGTAATGCGAATTGAAAACACGTGTCAAGCATATGGTTCAACGTTCTGTGTAACGTCTCGTCGCCATATTGCCTTCTTATTTTATTTCGTCAGCGTACCGTAATATTACCACCAAGTATTCGTAATAGTGCATAGTTTCCAATTTCTTATCGGAATGAGAAATTATTACCAGTTACAATTACCTTTCTCACGGGAAAAGACAAATTTCACGAAATAGGTTAATGTGATATGTGTTCTATTAGCAACGAGATGAATTATATATACGTATTAACGTATACGTATAAATTATACGTGTATACGCGTTATACGCTATTATATTTAAGATGTCGGTATATTTCCTATAAAAACCTCCCTATCATCAGTTCTCATTGCGAATTCGATAATTTCGTTCGATCTCGTTGAAAATAAATCTCTGTACAAAAATTTCTTTAAAATAATTAATTAATAATTCCAATCAAATTATTTTTTGTACTCAGCTCGCATAACTTCGAATTCAAAAATCGTAGTGATATTTATCTTCCTTTACGAAGACTAAGACTTTCTCGCTAGTAATTAGGAAAAATTCAAATGAAATTATCCTTTCGTTATATCAATCGAGATATCGTTAGTTTTCGCGTTATTTTTAATCGCGTTTCGCTTCGGTTCCACGTGCCAGTCGAAAGGAACAAAAGGCGCAAGCGGGATGTTTAGACAATTTACATTTAAAGTGGCCCATTCAGCGTTTCCTCGATATTTTCAAGACCGAAACAATAACAATTATCCGAGCTCTTTGAAGCGTCTTGTTGTCATTCGACCGTAATTCGCCCGCACCGATTTCCGCTGTTCTAGAGCTCTTAGCAAATTTATCTCCTCGAATCCGTCGCTTTGTGGATTGCAACGCGCGCGTGCTTTCAGCCTAGCCATTTGCGAGCCATTCTTCAGCCGCGGAGGCAACAACGACGGTAAAGGAAGATGAAAGGTTCCACGCTGTTTCGCGCGAGCAGTTCGGCAAATTCAACGACGGGGTTCACGGTCGATAGTTGTCGTTCCTGGCCAATTCGATTCGGCCATGCTTGAATTCGTTCCGCGCTCTCAGCCTTTTATGCGGGCCGCTCAGGGAAGGATATCGTCCCTCTCGCCCCCTACCCCGTCGCGAATAATTAATCTTCCGTCTAACGAGGATTAATTAATTTTACCGATTTCATGTCCGAACGAAGTTTCCGTGACTCTTCGTGCTTCATTATCCTTGCCAGACTACGGGAAATTGATATTCCTACTGGCTGAAATTATTCCCGGTAACAGATTTTTTATTCCAGACAGAATATTTTCAACTTCTTTCCTTTTTATTACATTTTAATGTTTATAACTTATTTTAATGCTTACAACTTATATCGGGTTTTTAGCGAAATTAATTAAATTCAGGTATAATGTATTGTAAAATAGTTTAGTACTAGAAATAGTTATAAAAGGAAGGAATATTTAAATTTATCTTAGATTTATGCGAATGTATAGTAACGTTTGGGTCATTCCACGAAAACTAATGAAAATAAACAATAGACTGTGGTTCCGCCCGAGCGTTTAGGCTAATATTCATTAGAGCGTGTCGAAGGATGAAAGTGACCTCGGGCGACGTATGCAAGAGGACAGAGTGGGAGAAATAGTTATGGCAGAGTATCGAGTGTGAACAAAGGGTGATAATTTAGATATACGTCAGAATGAGATTGAGAAAGAGAGCATGAGTTTGGAAGAGGAGCGATTGCTATGTTAAATGAGGCATAAGGATGCGAGCGAGTTCGGTATACAGTATTTTAGAGATACTGTGTCAAAGTTAGAATAACGAATACTATAAAAGTTTATCTTTTGACTTCTAATTATATATTATTTATTAATCAGACTCTGTGTCAGGATATAACCTCTTCATTTCTCACCATATATTTGTATCTACCCAATGAGTAAATAATAGATAAATAAGAGATAAATTTTTAATATTCGCATTATACTCTTAGTATGGAATATGTTCATAATTTTTAAATTAGTCTCATTTGAGCAGAGAATTAGAGGGATATAGGTAAATCAGGAATGAGGATTATTTCTGATAAATATTTCTGAAAAAGTTTATAGAATATGCATTTTAAATGAGTTTTAGTCAGTGTACGATAAAAGTAACTATAAATCGTTTACGTGCTTTTGTTTATTAATCATCTCAATGCCATACCAAATTTGTGAATTAAAAATTTAGTTAATAAGTTTCACATTTATCATGTATTGAAATAAAAGAAAATGCTGTTTCTTATTCAATTTATTTACTAAAATGATCAGAGAGTTATTACGCTCTATTTTCTTCTAAAAATTTGTTATTTTTATTGTTATTATTCTGTATCTCGTAACGAAAGTTTCTCATTGGGAATAATTCGATGTTGTTGCAGGAATGGACGGACTACAACCTCCAATGGAACGAGTCCGACTACGGAGGCGTGAAGGACTTGCGAATTACACCAAACAAGCTTTGGAAGCCAGACATTCTCATGTACAACAGGTAACTCGATCTTGTGCTGCATTTGCATAGGTAATTTGGTACTCGCACGATAAATCGATCGACAAACCTAATTATCTCGCGGACAAAGTAAAAATCCGATGAATTTCTTCACGCGATAAAAAAGGAAAAGAAAGACGAAGAAAATGGAGAAATGCGCGTTCGGTTTTCCCCGCGATCGGAAATTCGATCGGGTGTACGGTTAAATTCGTTTCATTAAAATATTCGCGACATCCCGAAGTATTCGTGAAATGCAAAATAAAGCGTGGGAAAAGGTAAGGGAAAAAATGAAAAAGGAAAAGAATCTTGGAACCGCGACGATATATCGAATCGAGATAGAAAACTTAAAATTCGATCGCGAATTAAAGGATCTTTAAAGGGGATGTCGCGTTCGCGACACGTCGAGGTATTCGCGAATCGCGAGATAAAACGCGACGGAGATAAATAAGTCGACGAATAAAATAGAATAAAATGGCGGAAAAGCGAATCGCGTCGATACCTCGAGCTGCAACCGGAAGTTTGGAACCCGATCGCGCGAATTAAAGCGTTCTTAAAAGCGATCCGAGTTCCGGTCCAAGGGAGCCGAGTTACACCGTGAAATCCGCGGTGTCACGTGTATGCGTTTAATCCGTGATCGTTGCAGCGTATGTAAAAACTCGCGCATCCGGAAACGCCGATAAAGATGAACATATTTTTGGTTGTTCCGAGCCAATCACCGTTGTCGTACGCGTATCGTGCACCGCGAATCGCTCGATTTTATCACTACCTGGCCAAACTACGCTGATTAATATTTCCACCGTCGATGCTTACCGCGTGGAAACACATAAATATTGCTCTCAATGCGATTTCCGTTGTATAAGAAACAAACGTTGTTTTGGTAATTGGTCGAAATAGAGTAAAAGAAATTTCAGCCAGGAACAAGCCATGTTTTCTCTGCGAATAATTTCAACATGCAGGAGTCACACTTTTATGCGATGGAACTTTGTTTCGGGGTTTCCTTTGAACATTTAATACATTTAATATAATAAATTTGTCGAATTACCGTATTTAGCATTAGTTTAGATAGTTTCATTTATTTCAGGTATATAATTAATACTCGTAAATAATTATATATTTTATTTATTTTGGCAATATTTAATTATATTTAATAGCTTACATAAATTCATCCAGTATTACTATATATATAGTAGTGTTTGTACTATAAATTACGGTAATTATTTCCATGTTTTACAAATTTTTCTACGTTCTATTATTATAATTTTAGTATCATTGCGATTAATATAGTATCCAATTTTATCCACGCAATTCCACATATGAAATAACAGATTTAACAAACGAAGCGCGGGAAAGCAATTTATTTCAAAGCACGAATACAACCCAAACGCCGTAACACGTTCAAAATTAGAATCGTTTATACCCCTAATCTCGGAGATTAAGAAATTTCATTATCCCCGAAACAAGGTTCCACAAAAATAAAAGGACTCTATCGCGCGTTCTTCCTAATTGGCAAATTTTCGTAGTCTGCATAAATATTCAACATTTATACGAAACCGAAATCAAAGATTCGTAATCTCTAATTGGACAACATCCGGTAATGAAAATTCACAGTCGCCATGGCGAGCAGCGGAAACATCGCGAATATATTGCCAGTGACGAACGATCTGGATCGAATGATTTCGCGAAAACCGAACCGTGTCCCGCGTATTTTTTCCACGAAGGGATTGCAATCGAACGAAATCGAGCTAATTTGCGGTACACGCGATACGTCCGCGTAATCCGGTTCATTCGAGTCGCAATTACACGTGGCTGGCCGGCCGCGGGTTAAATCGTGGAACTTTAAAAGCTCGTTTCCGAATTTCGATATTTCACGGAGGGATTCTGTCGGGGATCGGTCGGGCCTGGCCGCCATTTCCGGTTCGCCATCGCGAGACCGTGTTCCAAGCTTCCGAACTCGAGGAGACCGTGCAAGAAACGTGGGATGACGCGAGACAACGAGATAACAATCGGAGAAAGCCGAACGTAAAAGGAAGAAGCGTAAAACCGTTTCGAGAGCGAAACTTTCGCGTTCGGGAATGGTAAAACTCGACGAAACAACGGATGGAATAAAATGAAAAGGGATTTTCGCGCGAGCGTAAAGGGATCGACACATCGACCGATCTTGTTCGACACGCGGAAAGTTCGAGCCGCCTCGCGAATCGGGAGAAACTAAGATTTTGAGAATGTTTCAGAAGTCCACGCAGGCTAAACGTAATCGTATGTTACGTACGTTCCTTTTAACCCCATTTTTCACATGACGATTTTTCCGAGTATATAGATTTAAATCGGCAAGGGTACGTAAATATTATCCCTGTGTTGCTTCGCATCTTAAGAGAGTTCTCTATTTATACACACTCTGTCACACACGTACACGCGCAAACATATATATATATATATATGAAACTATATATGTAGGTGTTTGCGTATTATATCGAAGTCCCTGAACTGCATGCGTTTTCTTGAGTCCTCAGTAATACAGTATCTCTATCCAGTAACGTACAACCTGTATATTTACATTTCTCATTTGTACATATTTATACATTTATAGGTAGATCTATCTATACATATATATTCTTCCCGCAGAATTTTTCGATCCTAACCGTAGATACATCTTCTCCCGCGAGTCGATCGGTTTCTTCGAGCGTATCTTCGTGCTTGCTTCGCTCCATATTCTATAATAAAATGAGCAGGGGCACGCGTATGATGAACATCGTTCCCCGATGATCGTTATTCGATAGACAGTTGAAAATGGGACGAAAGAACCGATCGACTCGTGCGTGCTCTATCGTACATTTTGATACATTGAATTGCGACAACGCAGAGGCATTAATGCATATATACGCCGGTCATGTTCATTTTCCAAAAATCGCGAGGAGCCACGGTGTTAACGTCGCGCGCTTCAGCACAGCTATGGTACTCGAGGCCTCTCAACGGAACCGGAAACGCCCCACCAAAGCGTTCCATTACACCTTCTTCAGTCTTCATTGCGACCACGAAAGATTATTTATCTCCTTTTACCTTCCCAAGAATGGCACCCGAAGATTCTTCGTCCCACCTTCGAGAAAGTTCCAAGTCTATCTCTCACGCTCTCTCCATCAGCTCTCATCATCGTAATCCACGCGCAGGTTCGCCAAGGTACCCGAGGATTCCATCAGCTTCGACGCGCGACGCTTCTCAAGGGAGAGTCCTCCGTTTCCGACGATTAACACCGTGGCTCCCTCCGTTCTCAGCCACATGTTCACACAGCCTCCTAGATTAATTAGTTTTAGATTATTAATAGGCAATGCAACTGTGCATACAAGGTAGCCGCGGACGAGCAGCGCGCGGAGCGTCTCGCGTTCCACGTTCCGCTCGCCCGCGGGATTGATAGGCTGCTCGGCCGCCAGCCGATTCCCATCGCCGTGCTGATCGATTGCCCTCGTTCAATACAACCGCCATCCCGGCGAATTATTACGCATTCTCACTGTGATACCGCGTCACGTACTACGCGTTGCATAGTCGCGCGAGTTTCCGATCCGCTTGCTGAATAATGGATTAACGAGCGAGCCTCCTGGCCGCGATTTAAGCCGCCGCGATCAGTCGAATGGCTCCGATCTCTCGGATAACGCGCTCCAACGGAACTAGATTTTTCCGCCATCTCACGGATCAATGGGATCTCGCAGTCCGAGAGGGGTAGAGATCTCGATGAGAGATTTCGTCCCAATGCGGGGGTTCCCGGGTGAAGAATCGAAGGAATTTCGGTGATACGGAGAGTTGATTTGGGAGAATTCAATCGAGACTTTCGCCACGTCAGAAATTCTTCACGAGAAATTTCACCGCGATGTTTTCGATGAAGGAGCAAAGGGATTTTGACGAAGAAAGAGTGGAGAGGTTGAATTTTATTTTGGGACTGGTTTTGTTGCTTGTACTTGGTGCGAGATCAAATTTTTGGACTTGCTAGTTCTTCGAGTATGAGGGGAAATCTTTAGCAGTATTGGTTTGTTCGAGATTGATGGTTTCTGGGGGATGAGATAGGTTGGTGGAGGGTGAAGATTGGTTTGGGAGGAATGAGGTTTATTTTGGGGGATATATATGGCAGGTTTTGGGAATGACGCGAATGGTTTGGGAGCATTTGAATTGTGGAAGGTAGCAGTTGGGTTAGGTTTGTTGGTAACAGAAAGGAAGGAGGAGGTTCATTGGACCAGTTGCTCAGGAATCTTTAACCCCTTGCACTACGATTTAATTACGAAAAATTATATATTGACGCTGTATTTAATTTTAATTTACCACTGTACATCTATTCTATGGATTATAAGATTGGGTAAAAATTTGAGAAATTCTAAGAATTCTGTGTGAAATATAATTGTGGTCTTGCGATGAGTATAGCTTGTGATCTCAATATTGGACACGAAGAATTCACGACGAGTTAGACTCGTCATTGTAGTGCAAAGGGTTAATTCAAATGCTTCTCATTGTGATAATTTAGACTGGGATTTTAGATTCAGACTTTAAGTTTATTATATTATAAAATATCGAGTGAAATTAAATTATTTTTTAAAGGAAAAGATAGTTTCAGTAGCTTCCGTTATTTGTTGGATTTCTGCTTCTCCTCCCCTTCTGTATAGTATAAAATATAATATTAGCAACAACTGATGATCTTCACAATTCACATTAACCCAAGACCACAATTTGTTCCCGATACACGTCACACATATATATCGTACAATTAAAATAAATCTCACTCTTCAATTCCAATCTGCACGTTCCAAAAAGCTTCCTCATTCCTCAACTTCATATGCAACTACGAGCAAAGCAAAATTCTTCAATACCCAGCCTCGTGCACAAAGAGAAACGAAATCAGTCGAGAGTTTGATTAACCAACGACCACATGAAAGAGGAACTTCTTCTACTAAAACGTTTTCGCCATTAAAGCCGAGTGATTGCCACGTGAAACGAACAGTGCCACAACTTCTGCTAAACGAGATCCA